CAAGACCTAGGAAGTCAAAAAACTACTCGGTAAAAGGGCATTTCTGCAGAACTTCCCCTCATTCAGGGCAGTTGTGACCTTGGTGCACATTAGCCACACAAAACAGGGTCCCACCCTCTGGTTTAGGAACTCCACAAAACAATACACCTTGAGAACCTGCCCAACAGCTCTCCTGGCTATGTCTGCACAGGTATCTCCACTGAGTGGTGAAAGGCAGGAAGACCCCTAAGGGTGGGAAAAGCCCAGAGGTTCATTGTGTGAAAAGCCCTGATTCCAGAAATTTAAATCACCTGGTACCTAAACACCAGTCTTGGGAGCACTAAATGTGTTTGGGAAACAACTTGACAGAAACTGCCAAGTGTCTTATTTAGAGATGTGGACTGAACACAGGCTACTTGTTTTTCTTTCATTATAGGCTCTCTGTAAACAGCTTTTTGGCCAAAACAAGACAGAAATCTAGCAGACAGCAAATAGACAGCAATCACAGAATCATAGGGGTTGGAAGGGACCTCTGAAGATCAAGTCCAACCTCCCTGCTGCAGCAGGAACACCCAGGGCAGGTCATACAGGAACGTGTCCAGGTGGGGCTTGAAAGTCTCCAGAGAAGGAGACTCCACAGCCTCTCTGGGCAGCCTGTCCCAGGGCTCTGTCACCCTCACAGCAAAGAAGTTTCTCCTCATGTTGAGGTGGAACTTCCTGTGTGGCCACTTGATGCAGTTTCCCCTCATCCTGTCACAGCCACCACTGAACAGACACTGGCCCATTCTTGACACCCACCCTGCAGGTATTTATAGACATTAATCAGGTCCCCTCTTAGTCTTCTCTTCTCCAGACTAACCAGCCCCAGGTCTCTCAGCCTTTCTCCATAAGTAATCCAAGGAGCAAAAGCTATCAGTGCTGATGCACACCGCTGAGGTGTAAGGAAGGGCATCAGATGGTGCTCCTGCAACAGCTTCAATCCTCAAGAGCTTGATGAGGCTTCAAACAATTCATCCAGCAAATTAAAAACATGTCAGAAGAACAGGATATGCTGCTGGAAGACCTGTAAGACTTGAGTGTCTTGCTGAAGCACCTCAGCCACCCAGCAGCATTCCTCACCACCAGGCATGGGGCAGAGCACTGTGCATGTTCTGGAGGAGTCTTCCCTCAAAACTCAAACCAGATGCTCCTCACAAACCAGGAGCAAAAATACAGATCTAATTTTTGAAAAAAAATTCAACTTCATTTAAGTCTAAACTTAGTTTAAATTTGATTTAAAATTTTAAATTGAATGTTCTGAGGATTAGCACAGAATGAGATCTGAGAAACACCTGGAAGAACTGTAAACACAGAGCCGGTCTTAAATCACATCCCACTTCAAGAGGGATCCAAGGAAATCCATAGCAAACTAAGGCTGGCAGATTTGCTTTCACTGAGGATTTCATCACAGGACCACCAGCTCCCTCCACACAAGCCACTGCCTACGGCCAACCAGTGGTTTTATGAGATGCAGATAAGGCATACAGATAAGGTCAATGGAAGTGAAATGTAGAAGAAATTCAATAAATAAAAGTTGAGTCAGTGTGATGACACTCTGGGAGTCAGGACAGAATCCACTACCCCATCCTGTCTGCTCCCACACATCAAAACAGGGAAACCAAGCCAGATGTGGGACAGAGCCCCAGCCCCCTTTGAATAGATACTTACATATATTGCTCCTAATTGAGTCCTGTCTGCATCAAAAAGCTGGTAGTAATGTTGTACGAAGCTGGATCCAATCTGCTCCCAAATAGGCTTGTCTCCCATTCTGAATCCTCACCTACACGCAGTGACTGTAAACCAAAACCAATCATCAGACAGAGCAATCATAAATAAGCTTAACACTTTGGCTTCAGTACTAAGCATCAGCAAACACTCAGCTGGCCAGAATTTTTTTGTGGAGCAAGCAGGACAAATCTCACCTCCACATCCCAGACTTTTGCAAATAAAAGGTCTTATACACCAAATGGCTTCATTTCTTACTAGAGCATTTGGCGACTTCAAGAGCTGCCTCAGTGTGAGGCCACAACTCATGTGCAAAAGTGGGGAACAAGAGCAAAAAAAATCACCTTAAGTTTCACCTATTTCCAAAATTACACCCTCTGAAATAGTGGGCCAGCACTCACTGCTGCACTGGGTGATTTACTAGAAACAAAAGACATGCTAATGTGGATTGTCTGCAAGTGGCTGACACCACCTGATTTATCTGTTCAGCTCCTCAGGTATTTCACCACCCCCAAAGGCATCCTAGGGAAGAGTGTCCTTCCAAAGATACACAACAGGAGTTCACTCACCAGGCCTTTGCTTAACAAGAGTCTGCTTTCAGAGAGTCACCTCAGACTGGTTTGGGTTGGAAGGGACCTTCAAGATCATCCAATCCCCCCCTGCATGGGCAGGGACACCTCCCACCAGCCCAGGTTGCTCCAAGCCCCATCCAACCAGCCCTTCAACACTGCCAGGGATGGGGCAGCCACAGCTTCCCTGGGCAACCTGGGCCAGGCTCTCACCACCCTCTCAGCAAAGATTTACTCCTCATGTCCAACCTAAATCTCCCCTCTTCCCATTTTAAGCCAGATCCTTTCCTCCTCTATCCTGTCACTAAGCCTGAAGGACCCTCAACACCTATTTATGAACCGAGAGTAAGTTCAAGGCAAAACCCATGATTTTTCACAGTGTTTCCCAGTGAAGCTCCTGGAGCTCAAGAGACATCCCACACTTCTGAAACCCAGGTCCCTCTATTCTAGAAGGATTAATCATAAAGTGTGAATGAGATGATCTTTAAGGTCCCTTCCAACCCAAACCATTCCATGACTATGTGCAGCATTCCAGAAACATTCCTGCATTACCACGACAGATGATCACTCTCCCATCCCACAAAGGTTTTCAAGAAAGCAAAACCACTTTCTCTTTATCCTTCTGTCTCTCTGAAAGCCTGAAGAATTGTGCTGAAAGTCAAAACACAACAATGCTGCCCTCAAACCCCACCACATGACATTTTAAGAGCTGCTTTTACTCCAAGCAAGCTAAATTAAACCTGCTAAAAGTCAAGATTTGTCAGCCACTGGTCCCTCTTTGCAACCCCTGTCCAGGAACCCTAAAGCCTGCACTGCACCCCGAGCCTGGAAAGGTGTGAAATTCTGTTTCAGGACACAGGACATGACAGTTATTTTGGCTTCCAATTAGTCACACACCTGTTTAAGATTTGACAATTTCCTAAGAGGACCAAAAAACATATTCCCAAGATCTGGGCAGCAAGTACTGCCAGGCCTCACTCCCTGAGCACAGTCAGACCAAATCATCTCATGTTTGAGGCCTTGGGCTGCCTGAGCTTTACTCACACAAATGGGAACTGAAATGGGTTCAAACCATGAAGCTTTTAGGTTACACGTATTTGGCCAGAGTTAGAGAATAGCAAATTTCTTCAGTTAGAACAATGGCATAACAGGAGGTTTCAGACAAGTTTTCAGGGTGGGAAATTCAACTGCCAGAGTAAAATACAAACCAAGACCAACCACTAGAGCTTAAAGATCCAGGCGACTTGAGGGAGCAAATGGTTGGCAATTGTGGAGCAGGGAATGCAAAGTGGCTCTCCCTGCTGAGAAAGGGATCTTTAGCAGCCTGTGAGGAGGGGGTCAGCAGGAGCTTTGGTTGTGACACTGCACCACAAAAGCATGCCACAAACTCCATGTGACATCTCATTGCCCCTGGCTGCATGCAAGTGGACCTTAGACATTTTATTTTAATTCAAGTATTAGGTAAAAAAATGAACCTTCTATAGAAACATACCTACCCCATTTAAACCTCCTGATTTCAAGATACGGCAATATGGTCAAACTCAGTAACACTGCACATTAATAAAGAGTCAACATTCAAAGACTTGTTGCCACATAACCAGTATTTGAACTGCTCCAAAAAGATCTACAATCTGGGATCAGTCACCATCACGAGTGCTCCACTAATACCTGCAACACATGACTCAGTCTGAAGCAGTTTTACCCAGTGTGGTCACTCCTCTGGGAAAACAGATGACAAATCTCACCAGCTCCCTGAAAACTGCACTAAGGGATGCCCACCCTGCTGTCAGAGAGGACTGATGTCTTGCTTGGAAGGCCAGAAGTACCAGTAGTTAGTTTTGAAGCCTGCTGTTTGCATTCCAGACCTGCAGGAACCCAGAGGTCTGTAGTTTGAGATGGCTGTGGTGGAGCCAACAATCAGCCCAAGTGAGAATCACTTCTGTGATCACTTTTTATGGACTGTCACAGCTTCAACCTCAGCCCATGAGCTCACATCCTTGTCAGATATCCTTCTAAACTCTCAAGTGCAAATCTAGTTGGTAGGATTGATGTTAAACAGCCACACATTTAACACCGAGTAAGGTAGCAAAACAAACCCAAACCCACCACCTTATTCTCATGAAGCTGAAGGAAGTTCCTCTTGCTAATTTTTCACACACACACACAATGTGTGTTCACCCCTCCCAGCACCCAGGCCAAACTGTGTGCTACCAGTGCACCTCATTTAGCTCCTCAAGGCACAGCAGCCTCACCCAAGCACCAGGTGCCCCCTGTTCAATCCTGAAACTGCCAGGAAGCCTTTGAGACTGCAAGAAATTAAGGAATTTGTATTTTAAATACATACATGTAGTATTATGGCTTTTAAAACTAAAAATGAGTATGCAAGCTTGCTATCTCTTTCAAAAAAAATGTTTGTTTTGGCAGGTAAAATATCATTCAATACATTTTTTTAAAATCAGTATAAATTTGACCTGTTATTATGTTGATTTTGATGCTGTTGAGATTAATAATCTTTTTTTCTCTTTTGTTACAAACTTGCTTCTTTTCCTGTGCCATTCAAATATGGTTTTGTTGAACGCTCTCACTCTCCTTGGAAAGGTTTATTTTCCTTTTCTGATTTCTTGCCTTTTCCTCCATCCTGTCTCATATTTACTGTCTGTCCTTACAGAGGTAAGAAGCTTAGGGATGTACCTAAAGAAAGACAAGATAAGAATGATCTGTGTCACCAGGGCTACTCCCTTTCAATGAGTCCATGTAAGATTGTATTGATACGTTTATCAGGCTGGTTTAATGAGATAAATGCAATATAAAAAGCTTTTAAGATCTATTCCAAAGGTAGGAGGGCTACACATTTGGATGTTGACAAAGTCTAGGACAGCACAGTTGTGCCTCAGAGCCACCCAGCCAAATGTTTCTATGGTTCACTCAAACTTTGGTTACAGAGGCAAGAATATTCAGTAAATATTGAGCCAGATAAAAGCTGTTTCAAGAAGCTGGAGGGCACAGAAGATGTGGCACAGCTTATAAAGGCACCTGCAGAAAGTTACCACTATTTAAGTGTATTATTGGGTATCCCACCTTAATTCCTCTTGGAAAAGCAGTTTCCTCAATCTAATTAATTTTCCTTCCTTTGTCACTTCAAACCAAACTCACCTTGTTGCATCCACATGAGAACATCACAGCCCATTTGATAAACAGCTTCTTGGCAGAAGAGAAACAGCAGAGCTGAGCTACCAACACAGAATATAAGACTTTTACTCCCATTACTCCTTTTCTTGGAATCTGCTCATATTAGACAGCTGATCCCTACCTCAGATCCCACCCAGCAGTCTGTGCTCAAGTTGAAACCCAATACAGTGCACAGAGCTGCAGCTGCCAGCAGCTCTCTCTCTAACAGGTACAGCTGACACTGCCATTGCTGGCCGTCAGGGGACTTCTCAGCAAGGCCTAAATCACATTTTCCAACACCTTTGCCAGGCCACCAACACATCCCCAAGTGAAAACACCAGCCCTCTACAGATTGCTCACCAGGCTTCCTACCAGGTACCATGGTATCCCCAGTAACTTGACCCCACATTCATCCCTCTGCCTCAGGGGCACCCAGCACCCCTGAACAATCAAACCTCCCACAGCACAGGAGAGAGAATTTATATTGCAACCCAAGCAGAATTCCCAGCTCCCCATGACACCAGGCTTTCCTGCAGGCAGCCACAGACCCCCACACACACCAACAGGACTTCCACAGAGCACCACAACCAAGGCAGCCTAGGCCACCAGAGTCTATCATGCTCAGTGCTTCTTTTGCTTGCTTGACCTTACCAAACGGTCCAAGGCTACACCACATTCTGAAGTGTCTCTTCCTCCATTCTCCACAAGCTCTCACAGCTTGTTGTGTCCTAGTGGCTCTGCATTAAGCTCCCCCTTATTTGCTTTTGCACATGGCAATAATTTGATGTGAAGCTGCATGACCCAAACAGCAGCACCACCAAAGAGAAAAGGTATGAGGCAGAGGAGGACTGGAAGGGAAAGGAGCCTTCACATGGCCATGAGTGACCTGACATCAGACTAGGCTTACACTGGCCTCAGGCAACAGATTTTCTGTCTGCAAACCCCAGAAACACAAAATCTTTCACACTGTCTCTCACAGCTCAGGTGTTGCTATCTACACTCACTCCTCTTACTTCTCTGGCTCAAGGCTGGGCATGAAAGACCAGCACCAACACAACCAGGCCGAGTGCTGCTCCCAGGGGTAGCACAGCTCTTAAAAAAGCCATTTCTACAAGAGGTCTGGAGGAAACCTCTTCCTATTGTTCCCTTCAACAAACAAAAACCCACCAAACAATCTGGAGACAAATCTCCGTCAACGTGCTGTGGCACAAAGTCCATCTTTCAGCTCAAGTGGCACCACTAGAGCTATTGGGGGGAAAAGCCACCTTTTTACTTGGCAAAAGCATGAAGTGTGTCCTGCCAACAGACAGATAAACAGATTACTTCTCCTGA